TACAGGTATGTTTATTTCATACACACTTTACTGCATTTCACTTTTGGAAGAAACTGTACATTAAATTGAAAAAACAGTTCACAATATTTCTGAGCGTCTTAAAAATACTATGTTCTCTAAAAACAAACAAATACTATATAGGAAATACTTTAAATGTGACCCTAAAGTCTACAAGTCCAGAGTAATCTGGTTGCCAAGTCACTTGTGTTGTGGAATATTTCTATGACTAGTCGGGAGAAGAGTATAAAGGTTTTCAGTCAATATCAAATGAACAGAGTCTTGATGAATGATCAAAGTGTGTAAAGTCAATTTATTGCGTTGCAAGCAAGGAGAGCAGTTTCACAGATACGTATTGCAGTAACCTGTGAGAGTGCCCCCAGAATCATCTCCGTACATTGTTTTTTATACCCTCAGAGAGAGAAAAGAGACAGAGAAGGGAGGGGGGGACAAGTGGGGGACAAGTCATACGTGTGCATCAATGTCAATGCCTTCCCTTCAATATTAATGGGAAGGCGCCTCATTCTCTGCCGCTGTCCTATATGGCAGGCAGATTCCTTGTCTTATGCTATTGCCCTATATGGAATCGTTTTATGTCACAGCGGGCGCTTTCCTCTTACAGAGACTGTGCAGATACATGTTAGAAAATTTTTTACCGTTACATTTGATATGGTCTTCCTAAATTAAGGCCAGCATCTATTCCTAGTGGTGACCAGATACAGACAGGCCCCTCTTCTGACTCGAGGTCAAACGGTAAATCGAGACTGCACTTCATGTGATGCAATTAGATACTCTGAATGGCCATACATGTAGGCAGAATGTGTACAGTTCTCCTAAATACAGCAGATACATCTTTGAGTGATATGAAAAGTATGCAATGCTACTTGAAAAATGTCAGTTTATCATATTAGCACAAGGTTAGCATGATATTGACATGCATGCATAGTGTTTCATGCTGTTCAAACCCCTTACACATAATGACGTAGAAGGCTGTAACCCAGGGGTCTCAAACTCAAGGCCCGCGGGCCGGCCCGCCACGTCATTTTATGTGGCCCGCGAATCCGCCAGCAAAAAGATAAAAAAAAGTTTAAAAAATAAATAAAAATAATAATAATTCTAACAGTTTCAATAGGGCGTTCGCGGCCCGACGTTGTCGGTTGCTCGGGCCCTAATAAAATAACAATTAAAAGTTAGACTTGATAATAAAAATATCCCCATAGTCGACATTATGAGATAGAAAGTCATAACTATGATAGAAAGTCATAATTCTGAGATAGAAAGTCGAAGTTATGAGATACTTAAACACACAGTCATAGAAGCAGCTCTTTGGCTGGTTACTGTACATTTGACATGGAATGTATTGTGAGTACATTGAAGACTACTTTAAACGTGGCTTTACAACACATGAAATACTTCACGTGAGATTGTGCAAACGCACCCTTGAAAGGATTTTAAGCATTGAACAAAGTTATTATAATAACTTGTGTTTGATATTTGTCTTTGATATTTTCTTTAATAGTTTGATCTTTGATAGAGTAATGTGAGTTTCTTAACCCTAAATTAAAAGGATTTAAGTTATAATAACAGAAATGTGCTTAAATATATTTTTACATTTATATAACTGCATGTACAATATTTTTACACTTGAATAAACAATAATCAAATGCAGAGACAGTTATTTACCAATTTGTTAGGGAGTAGTTACATTTAGACCGTCTTACATTTACAACCGGCCCTTTGAGGGCGACCGTGACGCTGATGTGGCCCGGGAATAAATAAAGATGAGTTTGACACCCCTGCTGTAACCCGATAGTTGAGATTTAACGATTTCTATTTTTGTAAGCCAGCTATGCGGCGCTGTGGGAATGTACTGATTTGGAAAGTTATCTCTGACTGGATGTGTCTCAGTGGCAGCTTGCTGCAGCCGGTTCACAGTACTCTGTCTCAGCAGCTGTCTCTATTGAAAGGAGTTTTACACTAAGACGGAAGAGAGGAGGCATGGTTCTACAGTGCCATGCCAAAGATCTTATGTGGGCTTGTTTGCCTTGCAATCACTCTACTAAATGAAAAACTGGCATTTAATTAAGAGATACATGGTAATTAACAATGGGGCCGGACCAATATTATCAATCCGTCAGCATACGATATATCAAATATGAGACATCAGGTACGACAGTTTACTTATGACATTATGACAGCTCCGTCACAACCACAGATGACTAAAACTGCAATTATATCAATTTTAATCGTCCCTTAAATTGTACATTCTGTCCCACAAATACTGTATGTTCCTTTGAAAGCATTTTCTATTTGTCCCTGATTAAGAGGGAGGGAGACCTTTACCTCCTGCCAGCCCTAGAGGAATGCCAGTGGTTTAGGTTTCAGATGACACCTAAACCAGTGTCATGTGATCAACTGTCACATGATCAAGACACTGCTGCAGAGGCTTTTCAACATGGAATGACTTATACTTAGAGGCATAAAGAAAACTAAAGGGCAACTTAAAATAGTTACAGAATACTACTATCAGTCTTCAAAATCTCCAAAACAAATATTGTTCCTACTTAACCAATGCTGAAACATTGTAACGCTGCTTAGTTTTGCAGTTCTGAGCTCTGCGTGGCGGCAGCAACACTATGTAAAAGGCTGAGAACAGTGAAAATCATTTTATAAAAGGAGTGGACTCTGTTAGCCCTCTCCGGCTGCCTTCCGGGCTGCACTGAAGCCCTTACTATCATTGATTTATTTAATCAATTCTCTTTACTATTATTATTATTGTTATTTATTTTGTTTGTTATTGTTATTATTTATTTATGTACGTATTAAACTAACTTATGAATATTATTACCATTTATTTACCGATCTATTTATTTATTTCTCTCTCCTCCTCCTCCTGAAACATACCTGTTATTTAAATATGAATACATGACAAACTTATACAACCCACTTTGATATATGCACACAAACACAGGCAATACTCCCACTCAAAAAAACAACTAAAAACCTGAACCATGTTTAAATGATGATGTCTTTTTCATACGTCTTGTGTTGATCCCTGAATATTTCGTGACATCTTTGTCCGTCTATTTGTCACCTGTTTGTACTATGTCGCCCTGACGAAGTAAAAAAACGAGAACAACAATAAAAAATTTACCTTCGGTGTACTGCAGAGGTAGCGCATCACCTCTCCTATGTACTGCACAACAGTCACACTGTATTTCCTGCAGTCGTCCCAAAACTGAGAGGCAGAGAACTTCCTCTTCAGAATGATAGTTGACCCTTCACAATAAGACAGCAAAAAAGAAAATTTGATTATGAGCTAATCAGCATAAAAATGGGATGACAGTTGATTCAGATCCATTTTTCTGCACTGTATTTTGACTTGCATTAAAGGCAAGGCATGGCAAGGCAAGTTTATTTGCATAGCACATTTCAACAACAAGGTAATTCAAAGTGCTTCACATAAAACCATTAAAAGCATTAAAACATAAGGCAAAAGAAAATGAGATTTAAAAACAATTAAGAACATTCATTGAAACATTAAAAACAGTCATTATAACATTAAAAAAGCAGTGTAAGAAATAAAATACAGTAGTAAAATGCAGAAATGCAGGAAATTGATTAATATATTAATTGAATCTGGTTCAATTAAAGGCAGCAGCAAACAGAAAAGTCTTCAATCTTGATTTAAAGGAGCTGAGGGTCTCAGCAGACCTGCAGCTTTCTGGGACTTTGTTCCAGATATGTGGAGCAGAAAAACTGAACGCTGCTTCTCCATGTTTAGTTCTGACTCTGGGAACAGAAAGTAGACCGGTCCCAGACGACCTAAGGGGTCGGGATGGTTCATGAGGTAGCAGCAGATCAGAGATATATTTTGGCCCTAAACCATTCAGTGCTTTGTAAACCAACAGCAGGATTTTAAAGTCAATTCTTTGTTTGACAGGAAGCCAGAGCAAAGACCTCAGAACCTCAGAATTAAAGATGAATTGCTGTACTTTATGTTAAGCTTGAACATTTCCAAAACACTCATGCCAACAATATTAAACTGTATGTAATTTATCAATTTATTAAGGACGGTGATTGTTCTGCAGCGATGTTGGATATCTCCTAAGATGTGTGTAACTCAGGCTGCTAACCCAGACATATAGGGATGTGAACTTTAGCCTATTTAGAAAGAAGTAGTTAGAAATTAGAGGTAATCTGGTTGTGGTTGACCAAGCTCTGTTCAGATTACCAGTTCACAGCGACAAAGGACTCTTTCATTTAGTTTCCCACAGGGACAGAAAAAACAACGGGAGGAGGAGGAGGATCAGGGGCATCACTTTGATCAGTGGATCAGTGTTGAAACGAGTTCAATTCGGTTTACAATTTTGCAGCACTGTAGCCTCATATTTAGGTTGCTGGTGAGAATCCTATAGGGGTCTTGTAACAGAGTGCCATGTGTCTCAAATCTGCATAATAACAAGTGATTCCTCTATACCTAGTCAGGGATCGCAGGTGGGAAGCCAGTGAGGGATCAAATCCTTGTCAAAACAATGAATCATTGTATGTTAACTGTCGTGGTTGTTCTTCGAAAACCATGCATCTCCAAAACGTCAACTTTTCAAGAGCTAATAACAACAGCTTTGTGACGACACGTTCTTCTACTAATCCAATGGCATTTTGAAATGGTTTATTGAGCTTAAGAAGTAGAGACCCATGGTTTTCTTAGGACACTGATTATGTCAATGATGTATGACGACAAACTGAACCTGGATCTGCCATAAATCATCCATCGCTTCTCTTCTCGTATTTCCTGCGACGGCCACTGTCTGCACGCACAACCTCTTTTAGTGACAGTTTGTTTTTTGGTTTAAGACTCAAACCATTTTAAGCTTTGTTTGCTTTATGGTACAACAATGTTGCACCTGTGACCTGTTTGCTTTCACACTAGGATGGATAGTTTGATATTCAGCTTGCATTAAAAATAAAAATCACTGGCTTGCAGTTGGAGCCCTTTGGGGTCAACTTGGTGAACTCGAGGACGGATATTGAACCTTGGCAAAGCCTTTGGTGCCGATTTTTAACCCTTTCTGCAGTCTGAATTTGAAACAGTTTGGCCTGAAATAAAATAATTATAGAGTTTTTGTACAGCAAGCCTTAAATGTAAAACAACCTAAAAACTCCATGTTAGCTCAGTAAAGTGAGTATTCATTTGTCTGAAAGGAATTTCACACAGCCCTCACAAAGTCGTATTTGATTTACACTCTGTTCTTAGCTCGTCTCACCTGTCTCAATGGCGCCGATAAAGCCTATAATGAATCCAGCTGTGTGGTACAGAGGCAGGTTGAGGTAGATGATATCACTGGACGTTACACCGTTTGAAGATAGAACAGCCAGAGCGGTTAAGAGGCGGTTCTGATTGACCACAGCCGCCTTTGGGAGACCTGGAATACAACAAGACACAAACGGCACAAACCTTGACAACAGAAGAACTAACACGTTCGTCGTGGGAACTGATTATCACATGAGACTGAAGGACAAACCCTACCTGTAGTTCCAGAGGTGTAAATATAAACTGCAGGACTTTTGAATGTGATGTGTGATCTGAGGGATCGAGGGAGCGAAGCGTCTGATGCCTCGTCCACTTTATCGGAGAAGCTCTCGATCCCAGGTGTGTCACAGTGTTTGGTCATCAGGAGGACGGTGACGCCCTGCTCCTTCAGTGAGGGCAGCACATCCTCCACCGCTTCCTTCAGCTCTGGAAAAGGATACAGGACAATCATTACCACTAAAACTATAGTTTCAGGTTAATATGCAGATATTGGCCCACTACTGGCAGTGGAATATGCAACTTTACAAACAAAAACTAATATGATTAAAGCCAACCAAACCCTTGCAAGCTTGGCGTTCACTTTGAGTTGTAAGTGTGGATAACAGTCACTGAGAAGATGGAAGACGGTGAACTTCGGGGATTAGTTCAGGAGATAAAGACGATGTGGCTGCAGTATGTTGAGAACAATAATATGGTTTTCTTCCCTGACTCAGTTGAAAGCTGTCCCAGGACCCACAAAGGCAAATGTTGAGACCCCTGAAAAAAGTCTCGTCAAACCACTGAGTGAAATTCTCTATATTATCTCGAAAAAAAAACGTGTCTATATTTTTCACAGAGGCTTGAAATTTAAACTTCAGTCAGATATAAAATAAATTTACAATCAGATTGTTTATTAACTGGATCCCCATTAGCCGAGGCCTTGGCGCCCGCTAATCCTCCTGGGGTCCACAGAAAGGACAAAACACAATAGATACAATACATGACGTAAAACAAAGAGTTAAAACAGTACAGTCAGAATAGTTAAAATAGTACTGTCAGATACAAAGTACAGTCAGAGACTAGGATGTATAGTATCAGGACCAACCATATACATTATGCATCCCTAACTTCTTCAGAGAAGGATCAGGAGTCTACAAAGACAATGGAGTTCTAGGAAAAATAGTCAGTGGCCTTAGGTGAGCTTTTAGTTGTTTTTTAAATGACAGTTTGTTACTTGTATAAGTTACAGAGGAGGTAGTGAGTTCCAAGCTGTTATTGAATCACTGTGCGATTGAGGAGGTGTGTTCTTGGGGTTGGAGGTGTCAAGTGACCTGAGCTGGCACTCCTTGTGTGATGGTTATGTCTGTTGCATGTGTGTTGTACTTGGTCGAAGAAATATTCAGGTGTCTGATTAAATACTACATTTCTGTAATACGTGAGAAGGCTATAGTGGAATTAACCACGACAGGCGAGAGTGTAAATATGATGATGATGATGATCATCATATATGTTATACAGTATATGATGATGACGACGATGATTGCAGCACGCAATCACTGTTTAATAATGAGGTCAAGTGCGTTCCCCTCCACATGACAGGGTTACATCATTGTGGGAGGGGGTGCATTCAGGATAAAAACCCAAATCCCTTTTCATCTCTGATGAAATATCAACTGTACCAAACACTCGGCCCAGTGTGATGAAACAATACTTCCCTAAACAAAAGTTTAATTGAAACAAAAACTGTACGGCATTCCATAAGCATTTGAATTTGTATATTTATTTCTGCACTTCAGGTTGCAAACCCCATGAGGGCCAACACTTCTAACTTCTTTAAAAATAAAAAAACAGCTCGAACCTTTAGGCATGACTGAGGTCAAAATAGCTGCAACCACAAACTATATGATTTTGTTTCACAGTCGTTTAAAATGCGAACGTCCAACCTGAATGTACGGCTTGTAAAAGAGCAGGCCTTGCTGCCTTAAAGCAAAGCTTCGCTCATTTACGCGGATGCATACCTGGGGCCGCGATCAACACTTTGGCCTTGCAGCAGTTAAAGCAGTGCAGCAGAGACTTGGTGCGGATGTTGTGATTGAGAAGAGCCACGGGAGAGCCTAATTTAGCCAGGGCCAGCCATGTGAACATGAAGGCGGGCTCGTTCCCCATGAAAAGTGCCACGGTGTCCCCGGCTTCGTACCCCGGGTGAGACCGCAGCGCGTCGGCTGTTTTGTTGCTCCTTTTGTCCGTGTACGTGTACGAGTAGCTTTCATTTTCAAACGCAATAAAGATCTTGTCTGGTTGCGAAGCGGTCTGCTCCAAGAAACGGTCCAAAACAAAGAAGAGAGGTCTCCGTCTTCGCCTTGACACAAACTTCACCAAAATCCGCAGCAGATCCCCGAAATACAGAACATCCATCCAAAGATACGGGGACAAAGTTCTGAGCGCCACCGGTATGATGAGAACACTTGCTAAAACGACTGAAATCAAATAGACCAACATCATGTTTTCTCCCTTAAGAGCCACGGGTTGTGTAAAAAAAGAAAAGAAAAAGAAAAACCAACATTGCAGCTCCGGGCTGCAAAATGGGGAGCGTTGTGCCAATAAGGATTGTGTTCAGTGGGGCGGGGCATTTTCTCAAAAAAGTAGGTTCACTTCATGGAAAAGGTCAAATATTTGAATAATACGAATGATTGAAGGGGAAATTGCTCAGCAGCGGCGTGTGTCGCTGTGTTCAAACTTGACGACATAAAGATTGTAAATGAGCCCCATTGTGTTTCCTGCAGCACTGTGTGTTCGTGCAGTCATTCGTCAGACTCCCTCCTGCGGGTCACAAGACAAATGGAGCTGAGACATGATTAAAGCAGCAACAGTCAGATTTTGCCACACACAAATATCCAACAACTCACAGACATATGACCCAGGCCCAACACTCACACGATTGGTATGTAGAGGGCCACAAGCCAAACAAGGATTAGGAACCACTGGTTTTGTGTGAACTCAATCTAACTCTTAACTCAAGCTGTCGAATAGATTTAGTATCGGAAAGTAGTAGTATTTCTTCCTCTGACTTGTAGTGGAGTAGGAGTGGCATAACATGGACATTCTCAAGTACAGTACTTGAGTGAATGGTACTTTCTGCCACCGGTAATGGGACCACCCTTGTGTTTAGAGCACAGATTGGACAATTCAGATGACTGACTGCATATGCATGTGTAGGCCTACACACGGACACAATAAGACAATAATAATTATGAAGTGTAATCCTCAGGCCCATTTTGTGTCCACACAAAAATATTGGAAACAGGGAAACAGCAGCCCTGGCTCTGTTTAAAGGTGTATATGAAAATCTGCAGCATCTTTTTAGATCACAAAATAACATATTTTATCTTGTTTGTTTAATAACTTTAAAAACATATATGTGCAAAACAACAGGTTGCAGTTTAATGGACGGTTATGTGTCTGGCTATTCATTGCACAGAGGAAATAAATTCCTGAACTCATATCAGCCATGCATGTGTCAGCTGGATTGGATGTTGTTCTGCCCTATGACGATGAATTGATTAATGCAGCGTTAGTTATAAGTTAGGCTCACAAAGTTCTCTTTGTGACCATTGGACTGGTAAATTATGCTATGGAGCTGAAGGTATCTTCGGTGCACAACCGGTGAACCCTCGGCATCAGCCTGAGATATATATATTTATTTTTTTAGAGGGCGGGATATCAGGGGTCACTGAGGTCTTTGGGTTGTGAAACTCTTGTGTGCACAGTCCAGCAGAGCATGTGGTGACACAGCCGGCGCAAGGCTATCTATTTCTTTTGATTATGTCTACTCCTCTCTCACCCTTCGCTGTGCTTTGAGTCCTGGTGTGCTTGTTCTAATGTTCCAGAACGATGTGATGTCATTGTTAAATACTGTTAATGTTATTACACCACATTGGAGTCGAAAGAGTCAAATGAAGAAGCATGACAAACACACACAGATAGTAAAGCCAGTTTTTTTAGGAGATTTATTAAATGTGATTGTTTTCCTAATACAATAGACCTGTGGCCTTTTTGTGATTAACACAGGAAACATTAATAAGATAGTATTTGAAAAATACATTACTGGTAGACGTGTCTTTAAATTAAATACTGAATAAATGAAATCCCTAAAAATGCTTAATGTGTTCAGCCTTTTTATGCAGTAGCAAACAAGGTGTAGCCTATTCCAATCTTTTTTCTTTATCTTTTTAAGTGTTTGAAATGTGTTTAACAGTTTACGGTTCCTTAATAATTTCTTCAGCAGATATAGCATTTCTCAAGTCGCTGGTTTGAAGGAGGAAAAAAAAAATGCTCTGCACAATGAAAATAATTCTTGATACATTTTCAGACGTATAGTCCATGTAAACTTTTTAGCGCCTATAGCCCAGTTGATAAGAATGTGCTGGCGTCAGGGATTGGGTTTCAGAAATGCTTTTTCGAAAGTCACGTTGACTCGCAGCATGGCAGCGACCAATAGTCTAAGAGGCACGTAGACCCACCGCTATAAAGTTGGCTTTGGGCTGAGGCGTCTTCATTCATGAGCAAACTGCGAAGTGGATCCTGCGCTGCCGTTTCATTTCACTGACACGTTCACTATTACATTGGACAATGCTGCGAGTCAGGTGTCTGAGAGGAGGTAGCAGGGGGGCCGAGGCGGCCCATCTGATCGGAGCCATGGTTGGTATTGTGATGGTTTTAATGTCTTCTTCTATTTTTTTCCTTCCAAAAATGTTAGAAAAATTAAATTGGGGGGGGGGGGGGTTAAAAAAAAAAAAAAAGCACATATCAGTAAACGTGAATAAAGAAAATATGTTTTGACATTTTCTTCACTGCGCTACATCTGAGCTGCTTCATTCACTTGGGAACAGTTTCATTCAGTTATTGATATTTTTTTTGGTGTGTGGGGGTGTGATTGAGCATTTTAGTTGTAAGTAGCTACAATTTGGAGGAAGAAAAAAAAAACAAAAAAAACTCAGAGATTATCTCAAAGAGACCTTCGTCAATAGATTGATTTGTTTCTAACTGCTGAGAGAGTTTTTTTGGTCCAGGTCCTTGAGTGACAGTGAACGGCTGTTTGCCACAGATGCGCTCCCAGACTCAGTTACACTGTAGCTGATCCTGAGTCAGCAGAGGACTCTCTATGGAGATAGCGGCTTCTTAATAGCATGTGAACTTTAGCACCAAACAAATAAGCCTTTCTGAAGCAGATATCTTTGTTACTTATCAGCTTCTACTGTTTTACTGTTTGAATTGGCTTTGTGTGTGTGTCCTGCCAGCCAAGTCATTTTGAATTTAAATTAAAACTAAAATTAAATTATAAACAAGCAAACAGCAATGGTAACACACACATTAGTTGTATTACAACTAATATACAGATTGTATCAATATGTGTAATTTATTTTATCTGAAAAGGTTGATTCGATCTTAAAATATGCCTTTCTCAGTATCTGTAGTTTCACAAAACTGAGGGGCTGTTTTTGTGCTGCAGAACATAAAAAAATCAACAACTTGTGCTTCATTTTGTTCACTCCTCAGCTTGGCCGGGCGGTGACTGGATGGGTGCAGGGGGCCTTCCAGAGCACTTCCAGTGCAGCAGCTGCACAGCCACGCCATGCTGTTGAACATGTTACTGAGCCCGTCCAGCAGGAGTGTCCTGTGTGCAGCTACAATGAATGGGACCCTCTTGAGGAGGTGATCGTGGGTCGCGCCGAAAACGCCTGTGTGCCTCCCTTCACCGTGGAAGTGAAAGTAAGCCATAATGTTAAGATGACTTCTGTGAGCCAGATCTCACAATGCTCACGAGTGGGCCACTGTTGTGCAGGTAAAGAGATACTAAGGTGTGCACTGTAAGGCAATGAGATTAACTCAGATTGTCATTTTGTGAAACTCTCAACAGGCTAACACATATGAAAAGTATTGGCCCTTCTACCAGCAGTATGGGGGCCAGTGTTTTCCTGCGGACCACTTAAAAAAAGCTGTTGTTGAGATTGAGGAAATGTGCAATATTCTGCGCCACGAGGGCGTCACTGTGAGGAGGCCGGAGCCCCTCAACTGGTCCACGGAATACAAAACTCCAGACTTCACATCATCAGGTAAAGAACGAGCCAAAGCAGAAGTATCACTCATTGATTAGGCTTTTAAATATATTTTCATTCCCCATTCATATCAAAAATATGTCTAAAATGTGTGCGCAAAGAAGTAGTTCACAGCTCAAAGCCAGGAATCCATGAAGACACAAGTACTAGTACAATGTTGAGGTACTTTACTTGAGTATTTCCATTTACTGCTGATTTATTCTAATAATAATAATAATATAATGATATAACAGTGACAAGGCCTATTCTACCCAACTAGTACTTTTACTTTTGACACTTTCACTCAAGTATTTTTATAATGTAATGCTACTTTTACTTCAGTAAATGATCTGAATACTTCTTTCACCTGCTGGTCTCTTATTTTTCTGTTATAACAGCGCTCAAATTGTATTTTATAGAATATTTTATGTAAGCTAATGGTGTATTGCTGAATCTGTTGCAGGCATGTATTCTGCCATGCCCAGAGACATCCTCATGGTTGTGGGGAATGAGATTATCGAGGCTCCTATGGCCTGGAGGGCTCGCTTCTTCGAGTACAGAGCTTACAGACCTTTGATCAAAGAGTACTTCAGAAATGGTGCAAAATGGACCACTGCTCCTAAACCCACTATGGCCGATGAGCTGTATGATCAGGTGAGGCCTTATCTTGTGAGATTAGGACAGCACATGTTAAACGTTTGAAGAGTGGACTGTGTAGGACTAAGGACTAATGCTTTTTGAGGGATTAGCGTTTTTTACCTCCATTATAAAGTTAAACCTGTACTAAAACACATTGTTTAGGGTCTCCATATCACCACAGGCCTATAGGCCACACACTGATCAATTGAGTGTAAATGATTACTTTGTGGGGTCTTTCAGGACTACCCCATCCGCACAGTGGAGGACAGAAACAAGCTGGCTGCCGAGGGGAAGTTTGTGACCACAGAGCACGAGCCCTGCTTCGATGCTGCCGACTTTATCCGAGCTGGGAGAGACATTTTCGTCCAGAGGAGTCAGGTATGAAGGCTGTCACACTTGTGAGCACGTCTGCCGTCTGATAGGGAGGGTGACTTTTCTTAAAAGCACCCCAGGTACAAGTACTTACGTCTATAGTGTAGACGTTTTTAATGTGAGTCACGTGCAGAGTGACATGCAACGTGCAGAATGAAAGATTAGATAAAGCAAGGAGTTGCTTCAGCTAAACTCGAGATGACATACAGAGGTCTCTGTGTGCGTGTGAACACCAATTTACCATTTATTCACTCAAAACTAATACAGGTACATACAAGATTAAGAATATACAGCTCAAACCTCCTCCACTGTTTTGTTTTTTTTGCAGGTTACAAATTACATGGGAATTGAGTGGATGCGCCGCCATCTGGCTCCAGACTACAACATCCACATAATCTCATTCAAGGACCCTAACCCCATGCACATTGATGCAACTTTTAACATCATCGGGCCAGGACTGGTGCTGTCAAACCCTGATCGTCCATGTCGCCAGGTACTGTAGGACAGGAAAGGTGGCCTTTCAACTCTCACAGTGTCGTGTGCTGCCCTCTTGTGGATGGATGCTTTAACCTGGAGTGCTCCACGTTCACTACTTCTCTTTGTCCTCTTCCTCAGATCGACATGTTCCAGAAGGCTGGCTGGACTATTGTGAAACCTCCGACACCTCTCATTCCTGATGGTGTGTACTAAAAGTCATCTTTTCCTACATAAGAAAAACATTTTAAGTTGTTCCTTATAAATATACCTTCCCTCTCCCTTTCTATGTAGACCACCCACTGTGGATGTCCTCCAAATGGCTGTCCATGAACGTGCTGATGTTGGGTGAGAAGCGTGTTATGGTTGACGCCAACGAGAGCACAATTCAAAAAATGTTCGAGAGCCTCGGTGAGTTCCCAAATTAAAGTTGTTCCATCTTTATTTTTGCAGCATTTAAGATTCAGTTCAACAGATGTTCTGATCATCTGTATTAAAATACTCTGTATTTGAGGCATGAATGTGTTTTTGTTGCAGGTATCAAGACCATAAAGGTGAATATACGCCATGCCAACTCGCTGGGTGGTGGCTTCCACTGCTGGACAACCGATGTCCGCCGCCGCGGTACCCTGCAGTCCTACTTCAATTAGTCATGCCAGAAATAGGCAGTTTTTATTGAGCTTTGAAGATTAAAGCGTCAGTTTGGAATTTTGCTTCCACTGTAGTTATCGAATCTTAATTGTCAGTCAGTTGAGTATGTACACAATAATCACAAATCTACTTCCGGCAAATTTCTTTGAAAAAGTATTTGAAATTTGTGTGTTTGGGTGTCACCCGCTGCAGCTCAAAGTCAAAGCAGTATATCGTTCAAACGTGCCCGGAACAAACTAATAATTGGGCAATCTTATCATGACAGGTGGCACCAAAGTTATTTTCTGGAAATGTGTCTTTCTGCCCTAAATGAACATGTATGAATTGTTTTGACTTTGATGTGCATCACAGAGCATTTGCCAACAGCTTTGTCCTGATATCTTTATATCTCTATGTATATACACATGCTCAATAGCAACAAATTAACATAACTTTACTTCGATCAGTAATCTCAATATTAACTGCATTTCTGGCCTGGCTATTGTGAAGCTGAATTGTTTATGGCTCATACATCTAAAAGTCATAATGTTGAGTACAAGGTACAATTTGGTATGTGAAAGTCATCAAACAAGGAGGAGAGAAGCTACCTCCTGGTGGAAAAGCCAAACACCATCTTTTTCCAAAGTTTTTATTATTTTTTATTTAAACAAATGTACAAAAGTTGTTAAGTAGGTCATTAAACAATATACATTTATTATCTCTAGTATATTGTTTTTGTAAAGGTTTTAATTGATTTAACAGACAAAGTTCTATTTATATTTTTCATATTCTTGATTCGATTATATATTTACTTTAAAAGTTTGCGGTCCATATCAGATATTGTGTACCTTTTGCTTTTTCTCCTATTGCAAATCTGGGCCAGTTATATGCTACTCGTCATTCTCACTGAACTGGCTGCTTCTGTGTGCAAAGCAAATATGCCTAAAGAATGGAACATGTTTTGTGGTGAAGATGTTTTGTGATTTCTTTGCTGCCTCGGATATAGGACGTTTAAGTCTTGAGATTTATTTTAATACAATGAATCCAACAGAAGCTTTGGCTCAGCAGATGAATGCAAGTGATGTTTTGTATTATGCAACACTATTAAATGCAATTAAAAAGAGTTGTGTGTCAGTTTTTTTATTTTATTATTTGTTAATTTCACACATTCGTGTTTGTTAAGTGTAAACGTATTGCAGCTTTGCATATCTCAAGTAGTGCGAGAAGTACTGAGATATTTGACTTAATCAAAAGTGTAAAGACGCCGAGTTAAAATGACTTCATTACAAGTAAAAGTCCTGCAGTCAAAAGTTTTATCTAACTAAACGTACAGGAGTATTATCAGCATCAATGCACTTTAAGTATCAAAATATTGTGGTATAAGTGGTGCTCATAAATAATCACTCACATTTTACTTCATGTATTTACTGTACCGTCTCATACTGTATTCTGCCATGTATGCACCTCTGAACAAATTCATGTCCTCTTTAGAATAAAAAAGTTAACTTTGATTTTCATTTCATTCTCTGGCACCGTACCGTATGCAGCTTACAGGACAATACACTTCACGAGAACTATTTATGACTGTCTCGGTATTTTAATGTTCATCTCAATTAGAAATGACAACATGCTGAAAATGTACCAGTTGATGTCTGCATTCTGCTGCCTTTTAGTAGTGGTAACTACGCATCGCACTCCGACGTTTATAGAACAATTCAAATTTGTTTCTGAATCACACAAAAAACGATGTTGCTGTATCTTAAATTTGAGGTCATAACAGCAAATTCTGTTGTATCTAATGGGAAATGTATTGATATAATATATATATGTAACATTTTAGCATATGAAATGGTTTTCTTCAGTGTGCAAGTTATTTAGCAAATTACATTTGCGCCGAAGAGGCAAAGAACATACAAGACAACGTGTATTATTGTGATCCAAAGCCTCGAAAAATCAGCCAACTCAACACTTCCTTCACACTCCAAATGCTTCTACGGCTTCACATTAAATCTTAATACTTTGTTTACTCCCATTCAAACTCTAAAATGCCTCCATCTTTAGCTGTTATTTGATTTATTTTTCAAGACTGCACTTACACAATCTTCATATTCTCTTATGTAAATCTTGCTGCAGCACTCGTTGCTCCTGAGAGCATCACTTTAAACCGAAGCCACATACTGTGTCCTGTGAAGTGTGAACAAGGGCCTTTAAATAAACAGCTCTGATTCACAGTGGTGGAAAGTAACTAACTACATTTACTCAAGTAATGTATTTAAGTTCAATTTTGAGGTACCTTTACTTTACTTGAGTGTTTCCATTTTCTGCTAATTTATTTAAAAAAAAAACTATTGTATTGTATACTCCAATATTGCACTTTTTACTCCACTATATTCATTTGACAACTTTGCAGATTGAGATTAATCACACAAAATAAGATCAACACATAAATGATGTCTCGTTAAATGTTAAGATAAGATAAGGTGGTGTAAACATTAATGCATCAATAATTATAATCAAATGATACATTAGTCTGCAATGGATATCCTGCATGATGAGTACTTCATACCTTTGGTACTAAAAGTTTTGATGCGAATACTTTTGTCCTTTCACGAAACTAATAATAAGTTAAACTTTGACTGAAGATCTTTTACTTGTAAAAGAGTATTTCTACACTGTAACTAGTATTACTTTGACTTAAGTAAAAGGTCTGAGTATTTCTTCCTGCACTGCTGATGAGTAAACAACTACTTGAGGATTAATCTGCAGTCAGGAGTAGGGGAGAGTCTGTATTCATAATTTCCTCAATCTGATTGACCTTTTTCAGACCTGACATCATACGCCTTCATTGGGAGCACAACGGCTTGCTGCCAGCAGTGCTCGTGCTGGGCACAAGCACGCTGCCTATTTAACTGCTTCACCTTTGTCACAATGTGGTCCTGATCAGGCGCTGCAGGGTGAACGCTATGAGGCTACAGCTGTGGCCTGAGACGATCACGATCCTCTAAATCACATTCAGAATCACCCTCTGGATTGAAGGTGACTGTGTGTCAGTGACAGGTTCACTGGAAGCCAAGTCCCTTCTCTTCACAGCTGTTCAGTCTTTTTGTTTTTCCCTGCTTCTATGTAAGCCTAGTCTTCTGCAGATGGATTGCTTGTTTGTACAGCTGCCTAATTACGTAATACTGCGGCTGCCTCAACAACTGCTCTAAAAAGGAGAATTGATTGGGATCTGGTAATGATTAGGCTTAAATGTCTGCGGGAAAGCAGCCGTCATCTTCTCATATTCCCTTGACTATGTGTGACTTGACTATGTCTGAATTAGGTCCAGAACAGTCAGCCAGAGAGGATCCACATGTTCAAATCTGAAGCTTTAGGTGGTCATGTTGTCTCAAAAAAATGTTTTTCTTTACCCATATTGGGACAAACAATAGTTTGTGGTGGTAATAAAATAGAAAACGTGAGTAATAGAAAAGAAAAATGCTATTGATCCCCTTTCTGGCAGCGGTAAATAACCACATCTTTCAAACGTCATGCCCTGAGTTTGTAACGCAGGATTTCTGTTATGAATTTGTGGACTTCCTTCCAGGACTTGACAGAAAGTCCAAGAAGTTATTTAACAGCTGTTTTCACAGGCTGGCTTGTTCTAACCATGAAGAGTAAAGTGACCTTTAAGTGTAAAAATGGTTGGAGTAACTCTTTCATGTGTTGATTTATATCCAATCATATGTTTTATGACAAATTAGAACATTTACAAAACAGAAAATAAAAGAATAATGCACGATTTTGTGAGACGAATGTTCAATAAAAGTCCTTGGCCTCCCAGTCTAAATATAGCCTCAAGGTAACAGGAGTCATAACACTATCACCAATGTACAATAGCTAACTCACCGTAATATGAGCATGATATCCAATGGGAAGCTTTGCTGTTACATTTTTATGAAAACATTTTGTCAAAATGGCTTATGCGTATCGTTCCTCTGTTTCCATCCAAACAACACGATGTTCTTTGCGGATTCCCTGATAGTATGTGCAGACAACACATACTATCTTCATTTCAAAATCTTAATAGATACTCGAGTCACTGCCAAATGCTACGCTGCCCAGTTTACACTGTTGTCTGCCGTCATATCCAGGCAGTTTTGTAGTCATTTTACAGAACAAGGCAGAAATGTAGACGTCTTGGGCATTAAAAACAAAACGCTGTTTTTGTTTTGTTGTACTATTTGCATTAAAATTGAAATCATTTAATAGTTTACTGCCTTCAGAAGAAAACGTCTAAACACTTTTTAAAATGTTATTATACAACATTTTGTCACAGTTGACAGTAGAGAGCAACAGAAAACTTTTTTTAGATTTAGATAACAAGAAAAGCTTAAGATGTGTCTTAATTATCAAATAATTGCACTAAACCCCGAAAGTTATATCAAGACTTGTTTGGAGAGGTACACACTTTTTTTTTAAAATATATGCTGTATATTCTGTTATGGTAACATGAATAAGTTTAAAGTCACTATTTGTAGAATATGGAAATTCACTCATTTGGCGCCCCCTTGTGGATCAAAAAAGACACTGAAGTACACTTCACTGCGCATGTTGGGCAGTTGTCACGCACTTTCCGGGAGTGGTGAAGGGCACAATTTGGTTTAAAATCTGTTGCAAAAACAAACACGGCCAAAGTGGAAGATGTTTTCTTGTTGTAGAGTTAATATAGTGAAGGATCTGGTGAGCAAGATAAGTATTTCTGATGAGATAAAACTGCTCATTTGGACTGCGCACACATACTAGCAACTCGCATACTCTTTATTTTTACTTTCAGTACATACTGCAGCGGCCCTAACAAAATACGGACTGTTGCATGCAGTATGCATTTCATGGCCTGAGTATGGCCATAATAATCATACATGCATACCGTAATCATACGGTTAGATTCGACTCTTAAACAGCATTGTTCTCATTCCACTGCAATTATGCAGACAAAATGCCAAAACTACTCCAACAGTGGGTAGCCCCTTATGATGATCTACAATCAAGCAATGGAAATGTTGGACAGTAGGCCAATAAGATCACAGCATTGCCATGTTCTTAAGAAATGAAATAGAAGTTGTGATCATTTTCTTAAGTAAGCTAATCACTCATAATAAATGTAGGCTTCACAGGCTCAATGACCTTGTTGTTCCACTCAGAGGTATGTGACCGGGATCAATTAAAACTCAAACTGAATCCGATTTTGAAGAGGGATCAGTCAGTCATGCATGATCTGGTGCTTCTTGTTTTATAGTGCTTTACTGTATTAATTGGTGTCTTTTTTTTCTGAAATGTTGTGTTTTTAATGTACGTACCTATTGCAGAGTTTGTGTTTTGCATGTCTCCTCATGTATTTATTGTAGAAGAGAGTGAGAGGAGTCTCAAAAATTTCCTCAAATAACACCTGCAAATAACACGGAAACTATAAAATACAACCATTGTTAAGTAGGAAAATATTGTTTTTTCCTAATTTGGTTGACGTTACTCTTTAAAGAAAACTGTCTTCTATCTGTCTGCTATTGTGAAAATGCTGATGTTTACAGCTTCTGGACAATGTGACATCCAGCTGTTTGTTTACTGCCTGAAAAATACCTTTACTGGTTTGGGAATATCAATAACTAAATAAATTTTACCCAGCAAATCCAAGCTAATTCTGATGAAGGTTATGGGACTAATCACAGTTTATAGGTAGTTCAGCTTTATTAGTTAGAGGGAAACAAAAAAGGTTTTGGCCTGATTGGAGGCTGAATATTAATATTGACATTCAAAGTCTAATATCAGAAATGCAGACGTTTGTTCTACACCGAAAAGCTATTTTTACAACAGAAGACTTTTCAAATATACTGTACAAGCTTAAGTCAATATCATGCTAATTTTCATATAACAACTCAATGCTGTGATCTTTATTTGGTTTGTGTATTTTAGATGACAAACACTCAACAGTGACATATTCCAAAGGAATTTGATCAGGACAATTGGAAAAGACACGACTGACACAAAAATGAACATATAGTGTACACAAAACCTGCTGCTGACAGTAACCCAAATACACAATGAAACACCTTTCCTACAGTGGCCCAACTAGAGAAGCAGCACAAAGTATGGTGATGATAACTGATAAACACACCTAAATGACAGAAGTGCCAAAAAGGCAACAGTAAACATGTCATCCCCTCATGAATAATGCAGCCAGTGAAAGCTTAGAAAGGATTGAACAAGATCTGGATTTGTTTATATGCTGTCATCAGTCATCTCCAACATAGATTTTATTTAACACTTACATTCATTGGATCAAACTGGTGTGTTTTTGTTTTATAAGAGCAATAAAACATTTGAGGCTGTGATTTTGAAGTTGGTTTAAAGTAGTTTGGTTTTTTGTTTGATGCCCGGTCTAAAGAAACTTACCACATCCTCGTATGATTAACTGCTTAAAGCTCAATAAAGCAATTATTATTGAAACTAATATTGAACAGATACATTTACTTTTAAAGGTGAGTTTACTTGTCATCGGGAGCACTACTCTGCCTGAGTCTTAGAAAACACTCCTGGTGATCAGGTTTTCAGGTTTATCTTAATTTGGCCTTGAAGACTACATGAAAGACAGGTGTCTCTAGACTCTAGAGAGAGGGGGTCGAATGAAAACATGCTATTTGTTGCATTGTGGGAAACGTAGGATCCCACATTTTTGGAGCTTATCAGGACTACAGTCAGGACATCTCTGTCTCTTGGTTTCTGATCATTCCTTCCTTTCCCTCTCCGTCTCTTGCAAGCCAGCTTTATGAAAGGGTAGTACTAAATTGTTGGAGTACCCCTTTAAAATAATCTACACCTTAAATGTTACCTTGTATACTGTAATGCCTTGTATACTGTAATGCACACACTCCGTCTGTGTTGCACACTCAGTGTCTTCTGTGAATGAGACGCGTCAAGTGACAGAATGCTTTGTGACGCCTGTTCCACATTATGGGCTGATTTTAGCTTCAAAGAAGTGTTAAAAACAGTGTTGCTATCACGTGGTTTGTCCACCAGAGGGCGATGACAAGTTTATTTTTCAACTATAAAATGTTCTGTTCAGCTCAGACCTAAACAAAACATATTTACCAGCTGCAACAGCAAGACTGGTATTGTTTTCACCTTGTGAGTCTGTGTGTATCACTAGGGTAAAATGTGCTCCTAGAGACACCTACTGCAACAGGAACTACAGGAGAGGAGGTTCTGAGTACATTGTCTGTCTGCCTGGACAGGTATCGTCTCCGCAATAGCATCATAAGCGTGCAAGATGCAGTCACAAAACTTTAAAGGTGTGTAGCTGAGATTAAAAAAAAGGCAAGGGGGTTAGAAAGTAGTGTGGGGATTTTATTAATATTGCATGATAGCAAACAAAATGCTTTGGGATTTTAAATATGAATACTTTTTCATTACAGTGCACTATTCATGTATATGCCTGTATGTTTTTTGTTAATTAAGGTGCCTTTAAATGTAATTTATTTTGGCCCAGTTGGTTTTCCAAAAAAGCTCTGACATTCGACCAGAGAGGTTTTACTGGGTGTTCAAAAGCGCTTAACTTCCACCGTAAATTGTGTTGCTGTGCCGCAGATATAACCGTGAAAACCCCGCAACAAAAAAAACAGCTTTCGCCCGGTTTAGATGTGTGCAAATCTGCAGAAAACGTTGAGACAGCTTATTACCTACAACCAGCTCCGTGTTCGTCTGAGCGAGTCCCTTTTCCTGCTTTCAAAGTTCCCACGGAAAGCGGAGGACCACCCAGCCGAGCCGAGCACGACGCCGATTAGCTGCGCGGAGCTCATTTGCATTAACGTCAGTAAAGGCTGTAGGTCAATCCTTGCGGGTGCTTTTATTGGATGTGCCGCTGTCAAGCAGTGCTGAAGAATTGGAAGGGCAAACGCCAGAAAAGGCAGAGAAAAGACAAACATCAAATCAGCATTATGTAGCTCAGTCCTGCCTTACCTCCGCTCGGTCACCGCGAACAGTCCTGCCGTCCCCGATTTCACATCCGAAACTTGTGGACACGGAGCTGTCCTGTTTTTTTTAAATTTATTTATTTAATTTTTTTTTTTTTTTTTTTTTTTTAGATTTTTCTCTGTGTCTCTCAAGCGATTGCATTCTCCAGAGGCAGTACCTCCACATATTTGGCTACAATATGACAGCCTCTACATCCTTTTTTCCCTCCAGAATGAGAGAAAACCGTGGAGCCTGGTGACACTGTAGCCAACTGCGCCCGGGTTTGGACCTCTTACATCAGGCGGATCATCCTCAGCCGGGCAGCGGATGTCTGAATGGATATTTGCAAGCCATCCAGCAAGATTTCCCCGCTTCCTAAATTGGCGAATGCGGGCTGATAAATGGAGTGTTCTGTCGGACTACATAATGGCATTATGTTTCACGGAGGGTGCTTGACATCGGAGCGACCGGCCAGAATAACACCCCGCAGTGTGAATATTTCAGCCTGTTGATGATGAACCGCTCAGGACTGGAGCAAAGTGTCGTGAGAACCGGTTTATGGCCCGTGTCTTGAGCTGAAGTGGCCAACCAGATTGTTTAAGAGAGAGGGCAAGGGGGTGGGGGGGGGGGTGGGGGGGGGGAGAAAGAGAAAAAAAAAAAAAAAA